ATAGGCAAAAAAAAACGTTTGTTAGGTCAACTAGGTAGTGATAAAAGGGACCGACGGTTAAACACGGGGTGCTGACACCTCTTACCACCATACACAATCCTAAATACCATAATGGTATTTCTCACAAAGCACTAACCCTCTGCACAACATGATCTACGGCCAAATGTTCTGACTTCAATTTAATACTGTCTGTAATTTACGCGATTAGTACATATTTAACAAAAACACTTCAACGGCTTATAAGTATAGTCGTGACCACGAGTCGGAACTTCGGTCAGCAGTTAATATAATTTCCAAATAAGTTTAACTAATATAAATCGCGTTTTAAACCGTTAAAGTGTTTTATTTCAAGTTCCAACGTAATTAATACAAAAGCGTGTCGCGAAATTCACTTGACATTTACTTGGTGACAAACGAACAAATTATAAGTATAACATGACATTATTAGCACTATTATTATTTTCAAACTATGCAAATACAATATTTTAAATTTCTCGAACAGCTTTTTTTAAATAAACTGAGAATAATATATTTTTTGATAGAATTATTATTTTTAAAAAAAATTTTTTTTTTTGTGTATTTTTCATTGACTTAGGTACATATAAACGTATGTGTGTCAACCCTATATGAAGGTTATAGAAAAAATCGATTTATGCACATAGCGACTATACGTTACTTCGACATGTTGTAAATGTAAATAACAAGGACTGTAGAACTTATAACATGTATTATCTCATCAAGATTCAAGATCAAGTAGGCGATGTTTTTAGCATACACACTTGCAATTATATACGGAATGCTGTGACAGTCGTACAATTATGATTACGAGCCTATTTTCAAACAGCAAAAGGGACTAATATTATAATAATTAGGAAAAAAAAGTTTGTAATCCACGCTTAGATAAAACAGGTGCCGTGCTCGAAACGTCGGGCCGAAGTTAAAAATCATTCTCAAATAAGTTTAACTAATTATCACTATTATTTTACTATCGCCTTTTAAACCGTTAAATTGTACCCGTTGTATTGTATTATTTAAATGTGTACTACTCGACTAAACTATAGACAGTATTTACACGCCTAGTATCGCGCATAGCTCGATGGCTGTGTAACAGGGAAGTAAGAGAGGATAAGAGAGTAAGAGAGGTAGAAGTAAGCGATACAGAAGTTTGATTCACAACTTGCCTATTACAAACTAACCTAAAAGAATATCTTAAAATTAGGCCGGATAGAATGCATATATGTATGCACTAGCTGTGCCCGCGACATCGGCCGCGTAGAGTACCTCATCATTATAAACTACAAACGTTCTATTGCCATACGAGGTATTTCGAAGTAATGTGATTCCCATAAGAATGGTTCTTGTCATTTAAAAAGGTCACTACTGTCACGAATTCCATTAAAGATAAAGTAAAGTAAGAAAATAATACATACTTTTAGGGGATCTTAAAAAGGTCTTGCGACGCACGCAACGGGAACCCCAAAAGATAAATAATTATCCCCGTTATATTCATATTTACCTGTTTCTAACTTTCCTCGATAAATGGCGTAACCAACATATAAACTAATTACTTTAATTTTTATTTTAAGACTGTGACTTGTCATAAGTCATGCTATATCGGGTTATGCTTATCCATTAATGTATTAATTATATAACAAATCATACCTTCAAACAAGCCGACAAGATAAAGATCACTGTTTTTAACTTTCGCCAAATATAGCTAATTAAATAAAAAAAACTTAGTGTGGGAAAAGAAAGTCAACACTTGGATATTATGCAAACTACATAGTACGATCCTGTCGCGTTAGTTTTTTGAGTTACCTTTACGTATATACGCTTTTTCAAAAATTGATATAGGAACTTACTTTCGTATCTCTTGGGTAGTATAGACAAAATACTGTCTGTAGGTTACGCGAATAGTACAAACTCAAATAACACACTCTTGGGGGGGGGGGGGAACCCCCCCCGTGGTCCCCCCGTCTTGCAAACGTTTGAAACGTCGGACCGAAGTTAAATAATTTTCAAATAAATTAAACTAATATATATCGCGTTTTAAACCGTTAAATTGTTGTAATTAAAAGTAGTATAGACAACATTAAATTAAAATGATTTATGCCATTAAGGCCAGGACCGAAACTAAATATTAATGAAGGTACACTAAGTCCAAATTATAATTACGCTATGTATGTAGGAGCCAAATTATACGCGAAATTACCATAGCAAACAGTGTTGCGACAGATATTGTTCTGCTTCAATATCGGCGCATAATCAATATGTATCTGACTTAAGAGTCAGATACATATACCACGAATAGTACATTTAAATAAAACACGTTTAAGCATTTATAATGTGACGAAACAGATGGCGCTAACGTAGGTTTGGCTTTGATATTAGGGACATCTTCAGTCTTTCCGTCGTAAAAATAAGTTAATTTATCTTATGTTTGATTTAAACAATTAATTAATTAGACTTCAGTGTTTCTTATCACAAATGTGTAGGTAGGTACAACTACCTACACATTTGTGAAATCTAGTTTCCCTCGAAGGGTGTAGAGCGAACATATTTCTGTGTCCGTTTTACTAAGCTATAACAGATGATGTGCCTTATTTCTCTTCGACCAAAACGAATTACTTTTTCCAATGGATTAAAACTCAGGACTAGAGTCAATCTGTTCAACAACTAAGTTTTTCCTAGGGTGGCAGTGAGTGTCTATTACTTATCAAAGAAACTTTTGAATTTGGAATATACTATGAATGGGTATTTTTTTACTGAGAAGTTTTTGATCAGAACAAGGTGTCCTGCCTAACAGTATGTATATGAATTTATAGCTATGAAATCTGCAAGTGTTAATTGGTTAAGCTCAGCGCTCTGGCGGTTAGGACATGTTTATTGAGGAACGTAAATCAACGCCTACCAGTTCTCGGTGGCTGAGGAGCGTGTTTGATCTGCTAATCATTAGTATTCGTGTCTAGGCCCGGCTCTTATGTAAGCGCGCCTTGTAACTCTGTGACATTGGCGATTTAGTAATGCTTACAGTGTAAACGCGTTTGCGATGCGGTTTGAATTTTGCCATTCGTTTGTTTAGTTAAATTCAATTTTGTACCTACTTAATCAGACAAATTTAGAGATTGCGTTATATCATATAACGAGACTATTTCAACGGATTACAAAGCCGATATATGTATAATATTTTCTAAAATTCTACTTATATAATACTTTTAAAGTTCACGTAGGTAACTAAGTACACTTATGAACGTTACACTAGTTAAAAACTAACGATTTAGCAGTCATGAGTTATGAGAGAAGACTACAGAGTTTGAATTTTAAAATGACGATGCGATGATGATAAAGACTTATTTATGCAGGAAAATAAATTAAAATAACTACAATCATAATATTTTGCATAGGCGTTGGAATATAACGAAATCGAATACTAATTGAAAATAATTATTTTGTCAAACCAAGCATGACTTTAAAACCAGTACATATACTGAAATACCGTCCCCTAGTTGACTATGTCCCAGAAACGCGTTTAATCGTCTTTAACAATTATGTTGCCTCGGGATGCGAATCCAAGATCTCGCGAGCTTCGCAATGCTATGCAACGCTTAACCTTTGAACCACATTGGCGGTATAAAGGCACGTTTGCCTCCAGCAAGAGAACCCAGGCATATCTCACCAGGCAATTCACACATATATGGCAACTAGTATTACACATTGGTTTGATACAATAGATCTTATAACTTGGAATCAAAGTGAAAGTGGTGTTACACACTTAACACCTTATTCGTGATTAGCCACCTTACTAATGTACAATATTAGGTTATGCGTGTAGGTTTACTTGCGCTGTTATCTATTACATGTATTTACAATTTTATAATTGCAAACCTTAAAGAGAATATAGTAGCTTTCGTATCGTTTCGTATCGTTTCGTAAGATAATCTATATTTATATAATTATAATGTACTAGTGTACTACTAATGTAATACTCTACCAGCGATTTTGGACGTTTGGAAGTTTGTTTTTGCAAAGCTCCTCCTAATCTTTACAACTTACTTACTATAGAAGTTACCTATGATGTAGTTCATCATACGAAGGCCCTCAAAATTGAATAAATATTCCGCGTTTTTCCACATTTCCCACTGTTTTTTCGCTCATATTGGTGGGCAACGTGATCTTTTATATTTATAGCGTTCCTCGATAAATGCTCTAACCAAAACGGTTTTTTTATTCCAACCAGTAGTTCCTGAGATTGGCACGTTCAAACAAATAAACAGACTCTTCGGCTATATAATATTCGTATGGATAATATACAATACGATATAGAAGTTTGTAGAAATAATACAATTGTGAGACTTCATTCATGGTAGGAGAGAGTAAGATAGCAATAATAAGAACAAATTATAAAACATTCGATCCATCGTCACAATCCCGCTACGCAACTATTGCTATTCTCGTTTTTAATATCTCCGAAACAATTTCCTAATCCCTAAACCAGCATACGGACCAATCTGTAAGCAAACATAGGTTGGTCACCTTGCTTCATTCAAAACCAGATAAGATTACTTGCGCTCTTTCAACAGCCGATATTTGTTCGCAAACTCCTTTCATCTTTAATCTCACTACAAATGTAATGTAATGAATTTCAAATTTAAGTACATGGATAATTTATGTATTCATAACAAAGAGGCTCAAAAGAAATCGAATTAAATTGAAAATTATTTATCCATGTCGGTAACAATGCCATCTTTTAAGTATACTGTGCAAATGCACATGTAGAATAAAATATTTTCATCAATTTAAAATATTTTGGGTTAGTTAAGATTTAGAAAACGAATGTACAAGGGACTAGATACAGTAGGAATTAGTGCAACCACGTCAAAAGCTCATTTTTGTGATGTCTGAAAATATGTAATTTTTTTAAACTAAGACATACTAATAATAGTATATGTAATTGTAATTGACATGTCTGTAATAATATAGCTTTTAAAAGGACTACTCACCTCGCAAGGAATCAGCGGCTGCGTTGAAAACTCATTCCAAGGTCGTAGGAGAGCCCGCTCGGAATCCGCTCCCTTACTTGCAAAGCTTACACCATATCTCCTCCACATGGCGAGATCGTAAAGTCGACGCCATGGCACTCCATCGACTTTCTTCTTTCTAATGCTCCCACGTAAAGAAGGAGTACGAACGAAGGGTTCATTCTGATTTCCATTCTTGGAGGCCCCCCGCCACGGAGGTTTTGACAAATTCTTACTATTGATACCTCCGGAACCTTTGCGTATGAGTGGCGACTTCTGTTTATTTTTCTGGTCACCGGGGCTAAGTACCTCATCTTCGTTCTTTATGCCGTCAGATCTTACTTCTTCTACGGTGACGGCTGCCGCTCGTCTTTCCCTAAAACTCCCCCTCGAAGTAGTTCTTGCGAACGAGTTCTTCCACTTGTCTCTTTCTATTTCGTCTTGCATGGCTACAACTGAATCATCAGCATACCGTACACGAGCCGTTTTCATCAACGAAGCTTTTGTGTTCTGTGTGAATAACCGCTCACATGGATCTGGTTTCATTTCCGATCGAGCTCTGAAGGTATTTTCGGAATCGGTATCGCTGTGCCCCTCATAGGAACTGGTACTGTTACTGAAGCTCTTATTGAATGATCCGTTCCCGTTTCTCTGTAGATCACCATTTTTACTTTTATCGTGTATTTCTATGACGCAGTCGTTTCGAAAGGATTTGCGCGACTGAAGGCTCGTGTTGGAATCGGATTTTGCGAGAGGGCTATGTCTGTTGTCTATGCACCCATGAGCATGCGCTTTGCCCGTGCAATGTTTATGTATCTTCGCAAGAGCCGCCAAAGTCTTGGTCCCATCCGGTGATAATTCGTCTCCACCGCGCAGCGATTGTTCAAATGGACCTTGTACTTGAAACATTTTTATCACTTTCTCACTATAAGCTCACGATCGTGTCTTTTGGCATTTTAAAGGGTTAAAGTTCATTTTCGGTACAACTCGTGGCAGTTATATTTCAATTACGATAGTCTGCAACTGCCGTAAATGACGTATTAATTGACAGTACTGTAGATCGGCTTGCAATGTGTAATGATACTTAGATGTGTTTTTCTATTCTTGGTTTACGTACGGTATCATCATTTTACTTTAACTGGTACTTTTACCAAAATTTAATAAATTCGAAAACACCTAACACCTTAACTCTACACTTGTAGATAATATGTACGTGAAGTGCTTCTTATCATGTTGTCAATATTTGGTGAATCGTTATCACCGCATCTGACCGTGGGAATAAGGTACTATTATCACAGAAATAGATTAAGTTTTGCAAAATTAAAATTTGACACAAGAAGTAAGTAAGGTTAAGAATAACAATCAATATTCCTTAGAAACTTTTCATGAGCGTATAGAGATAAAAGAAGTTTTATAACTTTACACGATCATAAAAATCAGTGGCAACTGGCAACACTTTCATTGGACCTATATGGTATCGGTTATTCGTGTTGCTAGATCGTGACTCTTGGCTACTCTATTTGTACAATACAGAGATAATAATGTTCGTGATCGAAGATTGCATAATTGGTCAAATTGTTCACGAGTTTGCATATGTAGTACTTGTTCTCGCTAGATTTTGATTTGGACTGATTTAGACACATACTAAAATTTTCACATATATTATTAGACAGTATGGCGCAAGTAGCATAAGGACTCACTGTTATCGTCAACAAAATGAGTTTATGTATCTATTGGATATTAAAAGTTTTGTAATTTTTTATTTGGTCTGTGTAGAAAAGAGACTTTCAGTAGAATGAACTTATTTAAAATAAATTACATTTTTATTTAATTAAGAAATAATAACTGTAGCTAAAGTCCCAGTTCTACCTCATATTACCAGATGAAGGTTGAAGGATAGAACATATTTAAATGATAATTTTAAAATCGTTTGATAATACTTTTATATATCTCTTTCTTTCTGAATGGCCAAAATTAAGTTATCATAACATTACAAAAACTAAAAAACAACTAGTACATTTTGCATTTTAAACCGTTACAAGTGTTTAGTAAAACGTTCTACCACGATAAATTAAATCGTAAACCGTACCCAAATGACAAACGATTACAAATTCCACAATTATTAGTAACTGGAAAATAAATGAGCTATTAAAGAAATAATCAACGTCAAATTATGCAGTTAGGATACGTCATATACAGTTAAAATAATACATAAGTTGTAACCACCCGCCCGGACCCGTTCTAAACTCGATTATAGGTAAGTAGGTGAGACAAGTTTCATTTTGTTAAGTCAATCCCACTTTGGTAAACTAAGAAAATTGTTAATGGATAGTTTTATTAATGATACCCTAAAGTAGATTGATGATGGTGTATGTTGAGACAAAATTGCGGAACGATAATGTTTCTGCGATAATAATGTTTTTTTTTATGACGTAGAAGGAAAAACTAGCACGGGGTTAATGACAGCTGACATTATATATTTTTTCTTATAAAAAAAATACAATTGAGACTTATTTACAAAAAATACTGAGTTAAGGGAGGCCTTATCGCTAACAAGCGATCTATTCCAGACAACTGAAGATGAAATAAGAAAAAGTTAAAGAGAAAACGAGATGTGCAAGGTGAGCGAAGCAAAATATACAATCATAAAAATAAAAAGTAATAAATATCAAAACAAAATTACTAAACTTAAAATAAAAAGGAAAACTTAAGGCACTGAAAAGATAGACCGATTCATTCAGATGGGTCAATGAGTTAATGGTAATTAATGGGCAGAAAATGTATTTAAAGTAGAAGAGAAATAATATAATATCTGAACAAGATGCGCTGTCTATATATTTAATTCTGGACACTTGAAAATCCTTGGATTGAAACTTGAAACACAGATTTTATTCGTGATTTCTATATGTAGGCAGTGCGTGACTAGGATGGAATGAATTTTCCTACCACCCATCTGATTTTCAGATTTTCCTCTTATAAATCTTAGATTTAGCGGAATTTATATGATTCATAACATGAGCTACAATTGCAACGTAACATAAGAGATGACAAACGTAAAACCGCAAAGAATTGTAACACGAGCCTCTCGGCTTACCTACACTGCGCCAAAACGGACAAGATCAAGGTTATCTCTACTCTATTATTATAAAATAAGCCGATGTTTGTATGTACATTGAACATAGAAACACTAAAACGAGTATGAAGTGTGTGTGTGTGAATTTCTTTCTGCTAAGTTAATTTCATGTCTTTGTGTTGCATTTATTTTAATTAAAATATAGCGGAAGAAAATCCCGGACAAAAGCTAGCTAAACGGTATATAAAGGTTGCCGAGATTAATTATCTCAGAGCATCCAAACAATTGCTTTTTGTAGTGTATCTTCTTAGAGATTGACGTCATAACTTTTTCCTTCACATTTAAATTAATTAAGATATACAGTACGTTACCTGCAATAGAGATATTTACATTATTAATTTATTTATCATAAAGAAAACTATGTACTATTCTTAATATTGGGCCTTTAACTAATTGTGAGTTGACATGAGAATGATAATTTAAAATCTTGTTTACCTATTTGTGAAATTAAATATGTATATACATATTTAAAAATCCGATGCTTTTAAATAATTGTACACGAAATTAAAAAGGTCACCAATATATGACGCGTTTTAAAGTATCGGCTATATTTTATTCAAATCTTATACTATAGACATTTTTTTAAATCAATGATATCACTTCGAATCCTGTTGTTTTTGTCTGTAAATATAGTAGATAGATTGTAGTAGAAAACTAATAGATAGTTAGGCCTAAGCAGTGCCTAATGTAAATCAAGTTTATTTCACCTACTAAAATCGAAGTTCTCATAGCCCCTTCATACTTATTCAAATTGCTATATTTATAGTATAATTGACATCAATTAAAAGCGAAAACACGTCGCATTAGGTTGATATGTGTTTAATCGTTATTCTAAAGTGTCTATAACAATAAATATTTAAATACGACTTATAGAAAGACAAAATTAGAGGTCGGTTAGACCTTGAGTGGACGATCTTATAAGAAACAAAAGCATTAAATAATGTATTTTGCATATCGTCTTGGATTTCTCTGAATTCAAGCGCTCGAGATGAAATTTTGTAACAGCCAATCCTTTCTGTTATGTATTTCGACGAATTAAGTTTATGAACTTTAACGTTTTAAAACAAAAATATATGTATTTTTAATGATAAGGTGTCGGATGGCTTGTAGGAGCCGTATCACCGATTTTGCATTTTAAACCTTTTACGGGTTTTTTTTAAATAGGTCACACACACAAACACAATCTATGTCTTTATTAGATTCGTTATTTATATGCCATTACTGCTGCTGGCCCAAGGAGCTGACAAAAAGCCAGATTTCGATACTTTTGATAATATCTTGTTTCGATTACAAATGTTTGGTCGTATACCAAATAACTAATCGTCTTAATTAATTATATCTTCGTACTTAATGCTGTTATATGAAGGTTACTTGGACTAAGTAGAATTAATGTTAAAGTACCCGATTTTTTTGTTCACATCAATCTCGATGCTCGCTTCTACAAGAATTATAATCATCTTTGAAATCTCGTTCTTTGTACTTCATGACGCAAATAACATCATCTGAATGTAAACTATGGATCAATTTTGAATGCCGCTGTCAATTGTTACACAGCTGCAGCGGGTAAAATAAGTGCGTTTCAATCAGTTCAATTTAATCAGTGTTATTTTCTTCGTAATAACACTTGTTAAACTGTCAGATAACAAAGGTGTGTATAGACGAACTGCCACTAAAGCCGTCTAGTTATTGTAATAATGGTAATAGTTTAAGATTGTAATTGTATAGTTACCGCGGTGTAGTTAGCTATTTAGCGAAACAAGTAGAATGTCTTAGGGATAGGAACTGTTTTGTTCAGATAACGATCTCAAATAGCCAGTCTGTTAAGGAATTTTACACGCATTTTGGACTTTCAGATTTCTTATCGAAAGCCTACTTACTTCTTATTCTTCTTCATGGAAAAAAGTCTGAAGTACTATGTAAAAACACACCGTTTAAGAAAAATAGTTTCGTATGTTTAAATTATTTCCATAGTCAAACGGATCATCAGAGATACTTAAATACAACGGTTTAAAACGAGATATATATTAGCTAAACTAATTAGAAAAAGCTGTGTCTTCCCGTGATCGCGGCTGTGCGAAATGTCGGGCTGTAGTTAAAATAACTTTATCTAATTTAAATCGAGTTTTAAACCATGAAAGCGATTTATTTAAATGTGTACTACTCGCGTAGCCTACGGACAGTACCCTTCAAACAATTTAAAATGCGAAATATATCAGTTACTTGTTTTAGTTATACATTTTGCTATTTAGGAGATTATGAACGAATAAATTTTAAATTTGATTGGGACTACTTAAAAAATATACGATTGGCAAAAATTGCGTAGATACATCATAGGAATTCCACTTCTTTCGTGTCAATAATAAATGCTTAATTGAAAAAATAGAGGAAGATCTTAAAATCTATCAACAGTCAATAAAATAACTTCATACTAAAACGCCTTATACACTTCCAAGAACAGTAACTACACGTAGCTATTAGTATTCAGCCAAAGTATCGCTTCGTGATATCCACGACAAGCGTCAACTCAAAGACCATAATAACTCTAAAGGATATAGTAATTTACATTAAAACAGCAGCACAGCACGATCGACGTGACTAATCAAAGGCAAGGCATTCGCAGTTTGTTGACAATAATAAACTTTCAGCACAAACACAGGCAGACAAAGGATTCCCTTTGGGAATAAACGGAGTTGCTGTTAATTATGAGTAGACTCGATTTTACGCTGGTCAATACTAATTACTAATTGACAGAACATAAGAGATGTACGCATACAAA